ACTGAGGTACATCATCCCCATGTGTAATCACAGTAACTTCAGAGAATCACAGAATGGAGTGGGCTGGAAGGGACCTTGAAGATCATCTTGTTCCAATGCCCTGCCGTGGGCAGGGACACCTTCCACTAGACCAGTTGGCCCCAAGCCCTATCCTACCTGGCCTGGAACATTTCCAGGGATAGGGAATCTGCAGCTTCTCTGGGCAACCTATTCCAGAGCCTCACCACCTTTGCAGGGAAGAATTTCTTACTAATATCTAATCTTCACACTACAGACTGCAGGACGCTTGGCAGGACATGCTTGGAATTACACAGATCATGCCTTGTTGCATTAAATAAGTAGAAAAGTCACAGGCTGGGTTCAAAATATGCTTGTCTTCTCTCAATAATTAATTGTTTGGGGATTAATATGAGGTTTTGTGTTTTGAAAGTAAACTAATCCATTCGCTGGCTGGTGTGTAATGAAGGAGAACAGGCTGCTGTCAAGCAGTCTGAAAATAGTGAAAATTAACTCCATGAAGTGTCACAACTCCCATATTTTATGTACATGAGTAATGTGTCTTCTGTGGGACAGAAGATGAAAATATCACACGGAAAATAAAAAATAGTGCCTACCAATTTAATAAAAGAAGGAAGGATACATTGCTTTGGTGTAATCTGGCACTTTTACTGCTCAGTGGCAGCTGAGCTGGGCCACTGCAAGAAAATGCACACTTGTGAACCCACAAACAGTATGAACCAAAGGTTCTGCAGCCTCTGTATGCACAGCTGGCAAAGGAGAAAGAAAACACAATTAAAAAAATATAATATACTGAAATCATAAAATCCCTCCCCAGGCTGGAAAGGACCTCAAGGATCATCTGGTCCAACCTTTCTTGGCAAAAGCCTAGTCTAGACAAGAAGTCCCAGCACCCTGTCCAGCTGAACCTTAAAAGGGTCCAGTGCTGGGGAATCCCCCACTTCCCTGGGGAGAGTATTCCAACAGCTGATTGTGAAAACTATTCCTCTTGTGTCCAATCAGAATCTCCCCAGGAACAACTTGTACCTGTTACCCCTGTCTTTCCCATGTGATCCTTGTAAAAAAGGGAGTCTCCATCTTCTTTGTAGCCACCTTTTAAATACTGGAACGTGGGGTAGTAAGGTCTCCCCTCAGCCTTTTTTTCTCAAGGCTGAACAAACCCAGTTCTCTCAGCTTTTCCAGAGATGTTAAAAGGGACAAGGCAAATACTGAGATACAAATTCACTAGTAAGCGGATTTTTTTTTCTTGAGAGATGCCTAACTACTTTAGTTTTCTTTGGCTTCATGGGAGTTAAGACTGCAATCACTTCAAAAAATTGGGACCTCTCAGAAAGAGCATGTTACAATAGGGATCACAGAGTCTTGCAGATAACAACCAGCCAAGGGCTCAATACCTACAGCAAAAAACTAATATATTCATACCAGAAGGTTCCCATCTACTTAATGATGTTACTAGAAAATGGTTGATCCATTTGAACTGTTCTTCTTTCATTCCTCCACAGGAGAATATTATTCCCTTTGCCTCTCTCCACTTTTTTCATTCTGCCACGGGGAGTGTGCAGGGAGAAGGCCATTGAAAAAGCCATATAAAACCTCGAGAATGCAATAAGCAGAACATGGCACTTTTAACACGACAAAACTGCCAGCTTAGGTAAGGCTTGAAGTGCACATAAACTCCAGCACCTCCTCAGGCAAAGAGAGTCACAATCTCAACAGAGAAGCAGCGAAAGGAGTTCAGATCATAAATGTTCTTCAGATCTACAAGCTCTGCTACCTGAATGCACAATGAGCAACTCAAGGGCCCAGCCATCTTCAAATAAACCAGGCTGAGCCAGGAGTGCATCTGCCCTGTGGTAGCAACAGCTCAATATTCTGGCTCAGTTTGCTCACCCAGCACAGTGATCAGACAGGACGAGGTAGGTGATTTATCACCTCGGGTGGCTCCAGCAGTGCACGCTTTTTCTTGCTGTTGTCTTAAGATCACCAGGTTCTTGCCTAAACTCTGAAGTTCTGATTACATTGGCAGTAGCTCTGGTGTTGCTGCATGGTGCTGTACTGCAGCGTGGGAATATCCTCCTGGTGGTTTATTTGCTTCCCAGTTTCACTGAGCAAAATATTCTTCCTGGCACTGCTGGGGTCTGGTGGTGCTCAGGAAGAAAGAACAGCAATGTCCCAGGTATGGACAAACAGTCCATTTTCAATACTTACAGGGCCCATCAGCAGCACTCTCAGCTGAAGTGGTAGCAGCTCCTTTAAACTGAGCCTCTTCTGCTGAGGATGGGAATATGCTTTCAGGGGAAAAAGAGTCTTTAAGCTGTGGGACACACTAGATAAAGAATCATCATCCAGGTGGGGACTTGGGAAGACTTTTGAGTGAGTCAACTGCACAGTTCAAGGCACTGCAATCTTTATGGGAGATGAAGGAAGGAGAAACAGAAGGAGCTGTACAAGCATTTCTTAATCTAAGCAGAAAGAGTACAGGGGTTACAGGAAGAAACAGAGATTAAGAAGAGGAAAACTGAGTGGGAATAGGAAAAAAAAACTTGAAAAAATGGAAAACCGAGAAAGTAAAAGAGTAGAAAAAGTAAGTAATTAATATTGTTTTGGTTTATTGTGTAGTTTTAATTTCAGTCTAAGCCCAAAGAAGGGAGATGAAATGGGGAGAGAAAAGGCACTGAGTCCAAGCCTGTCTCTCACACCTCCTGCTCACAACAAAACCTCTGCAGAAACATCAATAGGGATGATCACGTGTGGCTGTGGGCTCTGCCCCGTCCCTTGGCACAGAACCAGCCAGTGGCTGCTGCAGAGCTGCAGGAGTAAACAGAATTCTGCTTTGTCCTGCTTTTAGAGCAGCTTCTGAATGATTAGATGAGGAACAACAGTGCTGTGGGGGTTGGAGGGAGGGGTGGACCTTTTTTCCTTTTGACAATTAGATGGGAGCTGTTGAAAGCTGCTTTCATGGATGAATGCATGGGGAACTAAGGACGTCTGGCAACTGATTTATTTGATTAGTTTATTGTATGCCATAATTTCACTCTCCCAGATGAAGCAGGCCTGTCGCTGGAGCTGGGCTTCGTGGTCGTTTGAAATCTCTGCCAAAAGCCCTCAGAACCTCAGAAGTCTGAAAAGGACGTCAAGCAGGGCACAGACAAAGCTGGTGGGGCAGGAGAAACTGAGCTAATCAGAGCACACCAATCTGGGCACTCCACTGATCCATAGGGCCTGATTTCCAAGCAGTTTAGCATTTGTGGATTCCAGCAGGAGTCCCGAGTGCTCAGCTGTTGGGAAAATCAGACCTACAGAGCACGGGGGGCTCAGGGATGGCTGGTTTGTCTCCATCCCACCGGTGTGACTGGGTTCTGGCGGGGCAAGGATGACATCCAGTGGGAAACTCCTGAACTACAGCAGCATTTTATACGTGGAATGAGACTCAGCAGCACCTAAATCTCCAACTACAGTCAAAGGGTAAGATTCTGGATGGGGAAATAACTGTTCAAGAAAGGTTCTGAAGTGAATGGCTCATGGCTAAGAGTCCTGTGTTGTTATTCTCCTCTGCTGTTCTTCTCCTGAAATCTGCAATACCTAAAGGTGTTTTGGAGTGTCTCTTCTTCCCAGGGAGAAAAAGATTTGTTCTTTGGGGAAGTGCTGACAACAGCATCTCAGTGGGATTAATATTCACGCACGATTCTCAGTTTCAGGAAAGGTTTTCTCTAATTGTTTTTGCTTTAAATATGTGACTCCCTGATTTTTTGGGAGCCTACAAGAAGGCTGGAGAGGGACTTTGTACAAGGACATGCAGTGATAAGACAAGGGAGAATGGCTTTAAGCTGAAGAGAAGTAGATTTAAATTGGGATATTAGGAAGGAATTCTTCCCTGTGAGGGTGGGGAGGCCCTGGCACAGGTTGTCCAGAGAAGTTGTGGCTGTCCCAATCCTGGATGTATTCAAGGTCAGGCTGGACAGGGCTTGGAGCAACCTGGGCTAGTGGAAGGTGTCCCTGCCGATGGCAGGGGGTGGAAGAAGATGAGCTTAAAGGTCCCTTCCAGCCCAAACCATTTTTTGATTCTTAACATCTTTAACTTTCAATGAAAATCTTTTAGTAGTTTCCCTCAGCAATCTGCATTTGTGTCACTTGTCCCAGTGTTTGGTAGAGACCTGGGGAGGATCAGTTATCTGAAACAAACTGGAATAAATGTTTACCATGTAAATAACTGGATGTACAGACAGAAGTAATGCAGAAAGGACAAATAATTTTGTACAACTGAGGATATGTGCCTGCCTGTTATGATTTCATTCAGCAGCCAGAAGGCCTGGGAATCTCAGCCACTGCTCCGTGATCACACACCAGCTGCTTCCCAAAATGTTTTTTCCCTCTAGTCCCTAATCAGGAGACCAGGAGGGGGAGATTTCATTTCATACCCCCCAACTCATCCCAGGCCGGGCCGTGACGTCACGCCAACAAGGAACGGGCTGTGATGTCATGCAATTAGCACTGGACGCGCCGTGACGTCACGCTCAACCCTCCCTCAGACTGTCAAGCCCCGCCCCCTGATCGTTGATTGGTTCTCCCCCTCCGCTCCCCGCCCCGCCTCGCCCCGAGCCGTGTCTCCGGCTTAGCCCCGCCCCGCACCACGACTCCTCCAATCGAAGGCGGGAGAGACCGTTGACCGACAGCACCTCCGCCCAATAATGTGCGGCGCTGGCCGTTCTGGCCCCTCCCCCGGCGGGCGGCGGCGCTCGCTGCGAGAGGGGCCGGGGCCGCGCGCCCCCCGCCCCGCGGCACCGCCGTGACCCCGCCCGGGCGCCCTCACCGCCCCCGGCCCCGCCGCGCCCCACGGGCCGGCCGTGCCCCCTCCCCGGGCAGCGCCCGCCGCCCCCCAGCCCTCCCTCCCCCCCCCGGCCGGAATGGGCGGTCCCGGCCCGTAGCCCCCGGGGCTGCGGCTGCTGCTCCTCCTCCTCCACCCGCTGGGTCGCAGCGTCTCGGCGGCCTCCGCCCGATGCTGGCGGAGCCCGGGGTGTCGGCGGCGGCGTTGTGAGCGCTGCGGGCCCGCCGCCGCCGCCGCCATGTCCGGCGTGGTGCGCACCCTGAGCCGCTGCCTGCTGCCGGCCGAGGCCGCGGGCCGCGCCGGGGACGGGCCCCGCCGGGACGCCAAGGAGCGGAGCCGCGACGCGGAGCGGGAGGCGCGGCGGCGCAGCCGGGAGATCGACGCGATGCTGGCCCGGGAGCGCCGCGCCGTCCGCCGCCTCGTCAAGATCCTGCTGCTGGGCGCCGGCGAGAGCGGCAAGTCCACCTTCCTCAAGCAGATGCGGATCATCCACGGCCGCGAGTTCGACCAGAAGGCGCTGCTGGAGTTCCGAGCCACCATCTACGAGAACATCCTCAAGGTGAGGGAGGGCGGGATGGAAGCCGGGGTGGGGATGGAGGCCGGAGCCGGGACATCGCTCAGCGCCGGGAGCTGGTGGGGCCGTGCCCGGGGTCGCCGTCGGGAAGGGATGTGAGCCCGGGCGGAGCCCCCCCGAACGCCCCGGCCCCGCTCCCGGCGCTCCCCCCGGGGGAAGGGGCTCGGTGCAGGTGTTCGGGTACCTTTGTGCTGCGGGACGGGGGTTCCGGCGCTGCCAGACCGTGAAAAAGCCTCAAAGGAAGCTTCCCCCGCAAAGGGGGATTGAGGAAAGCTTTGTGGGAGCGCAGAGGAAAGAGGATATAGGTGTGGCCTGCCTTCTGGAAAAGGCATTACGAGAGCATCCTCCGAGTCAGAACGGGAGAAACTTCAAGGTTTGAAGAAATAAGGAGATTTCCCTGCCTGTGCGGAGTGCCCCCCAGTCTGTGCTCGACATGGGATGAGAAATGGGTCCTTGTATAGATGTTGTGGCTGCAAGTGGTTGTTAGTTGGTCCATCCTCAGAAATGGGGGAGTGCAGGCCCCTGGAGTTGGGCATGGGGGCTGTTATCAAAGCCAGTGCTGGAATGGAAATAACTTTTGGTTTGGTACCTTTGGCAAAAAGTTTCTGTTCAGTGCGTGTGCAGGCTTTAGAGTGCTGGCAGTACATTTCTGTAGTGACTGGAGAATATCAAGGCTACTGGTAGAGCCTTTGCTCTGCACACCACTGTTTCCCTAATTAAGGAAAATCAGCCTTGACAAATATTGTTTCTTTCAGGGATACAAACTTTTATGCCCTATGCAGGTAGAAGGGATCCTATTTCAGAAAATACCTGAAGTGCATAAAAAGCTCACTTAAGAGTATATCTCTCCTCATCTTCATGATCTTTCCCTAAAAGAAATGCTGTTTTCCTGCCTAGATTTTTCTGTAGGGCTGCCTTCATTCTTATGTGGGCATGGATTTGTGAGACTTCATGAGATTTCATAGAAACTTAACGGAAAGGGAACTGTGCAAGTTAAAGATAACGAGTTACTTTCGAATTTTCGGACTTGTGTTTAAATGGAAGCTTTATGTGCACTTAATAAGTGCAAGCATACAATGACTCTTGTTTTTTAAGAATGCCACTATTCCATGAAGGGCTTTCACTTCTGTTAGTGAACAGGAAAATTGTTGTCTAATTTTCTTTTCCTTTTTTTTTCATCCATTTTCAGGCTGGAGCCCATTAACTGCAAGAAAGTCGAAGCTCAGAAGCTTCTCTCTTATTGTGGTTATGTAGGCAAAGAGAGCATTATGATTTCTTTTAGCTAAACACCTAGAAATAAAGACTCTTATTTTAGGTGTTAATGCTTATTTTGGTCTTGCCAGTGATTTATTTTTTTACTGCTACTGATTTCAAGTGGTAGCAGAGGCTTTTAAGGAAGCAGTTTGTAAAAACGGAAAAATCTGAGACTCCTTCCTCTTCAGAGTTGTCTAAGCAATACCAGTTATGGTAAAATGATGTAATATTTTATGTATGCAAAAAGTGTAGAGCTTTCAGCAGTAGAACTTGGTGTGCTTTGAAAAGGAAAATAAGTGTCTCCAACTTGCAGTAGGGGAGGCTGAGTTACACACTTGAAACACTTGTCTACTGGGTGGCTTTGGGCAGATGTGCAGAATTTAAAGTAGAATCCAGGTCCTCAAGGTAGCAGTCAGGTGTTCTGATAGTTAACAACACCGCTTGGGCTGTGTCAGCTGAACATCTGTTTAAGTATTCTAATTGTCAAAATAAATTTTGGATTATTTTTAAGTGAGTTCAGCAGATCCGTCGCCCTTTGGGCCTTGCAGGTCATGATTTGGGAGGGTTAAGGTTGGGCTCTCCCTTAGGGACGTGTTAGACTCTTCCTTCTCTTACTTCTACAGGTGACAGAGATGGCTCTTGTGTTAAACTTTGTTCATGGATAAACTTGCAGTGTTTAAAGTAAACTTACTTTACTTCTTTGACAACACAAATTGCCAAGTGACCGAATTGCTGCTCTAAATTGTTTTAGACTACAGGTTCTTTTCTCTTTTTCAGGAAGTTCAGAATGATCACCGATTAAGACTTAATGAAGGGGAGATCACCATATGTTTAACTTACAGGAAAAGATATAAGATGATTTTGTATAGTACTCTGTGTGGACAATGTGAAGCGAAAACTATCCTATGAAATAGCATATAAATCTGTGTGACACTGTGAAGTTCAGCTGCAGCAACCTTAACCCCTTTTTCCACGCAGTTCTCAGCATGGTCAAACAATGGTTCTGTTAAGCTTCTGCAGCACTGAGATCTGAGTTAGAAATGCAGTGTAAATCTCTGGGATTAAATGGTCAATTTTCATTTTCCAGCCATGACTAAACTGCTCTCTGAAGGAGGAGCATTCCTACTCTCTTAGCAGTGCTGGGTATTGCTAAAATCATCATTGCAGTAGTGTTTAGGCACTCTGTGCAACTTACTGAAAATGAGGGAACTGATTCAGGGAACAGAACGTGAAACCTCTGAAAATAACAGTGCTAAGTATGAACTGACATTAGGATCAGTCTCCACTTTGACTTTTCAGCTTCTCACTTCTCTGATATCTTCTTAATGCTGAGTTCTTTGCTTACCCTGTTCTCTCTGCTTCTCATCCCTCATTTTGGGGAAACCCTAGTTAGAAACAAAATGCTGAAACAGAATAAATCTGTGATACAGAATTTGCTTTTCCATTTAGTACAGGTGATGGTCCAGGGCCTTGCTGGCTTTTTCTGGCATTTGTGGGGTGGTATTCAAATACATTAGTTTTGCTTTGGTTTAAGGTAAATAGTCATCGGTTAACTCGGGTTTTGCTTGTTAATCGAGGCTAAGTTTCAAAGTAACTTTTTGGAACTTTCTGATGATTGAAGTGAAAAGCAGCAGTGTTAATGTTCTGTTATGAGTACACAGGCTCCAGGACTTCAGCACACCCACCTGGAAAAGGAAAGTGGATAGGACAGAGCTGGCTGACGCTGGCAACGTGAATTTTAAGGTGACTCTTGGTTACACAGAGAAACTTGGAAAACTTTGATGTACCTTAAGTTTAAAATATAAGAGAAGTCTGGTGGTGTTACATGAGCATTTTGATGCTTTCTGACTGTAGCTGAAGGAATCTTTTGATACCTTCCAAAACAGATGGGTTGGCCTTGCTACTCTACTTGCTTCCTTTGATAACAGTTAAAGAGCTCAGATACTCGATGAATCACAGCTCTGATGTTCCTTGTCTAAATGTTTTTTGTTTCAAGTATGAGAATATCATGCTGCTTGAAAAAACCTGGTTTAGCTGTGTAAGAAAATAATTAAAGCAATCTACAAGCACCAGAGTGGTACTTGCACTGGCTTGTTGGGGAGATCTCAATCTGAAGAGAGAAAACATTCAACTTTTAAAAGCCTGAAGTATAATCTGTTGAGCTCTTTTGGTAATGTTAGTTTTTGTGTTGAGAATGAGAAGGCCAGGTCAAGGTTTCAGTAAATCTGTGAGTGTTTTCTTGTTATCTGTGGCTTGAATTGTAATGATTGACTAAGGAATTGGAAAACCTGGAGTTGCAGAGGGAAGGACTACGCAGGAAATGATGTGGAACTTCAGCTGTGGGCTCTGAGTGTGGGAAAACAAGGAAAGATTTTAAACATGAAAGCTGTCTGAGGAACAATCCTTTGGGACTTCTGAGTGCAATACACATGGGCATACCTGAGAGCATTTCTCCTTGATAGCAGGAATATGAGTGGCAGGAAAGCAGGCAAAATAAGTGGTCTGTGCTGAAGGCAGTTTTAAGAAGAACTTTAGACTTCTGCAGCCATTACAAAACGTGGACTGTTGCTGCCCAGGGACTCTGTGTACCCTGAATGTACCAGTGTTGGGTTTATGGTGGCTGCCTGTGAGGTGGTTGTACCTTCTGTCATTGACAAACCAGCCAAGAAAACTCGCTTGCAGCTTGCGGGTTTAAGTCAGGTACAGATACAGATTGTGGGAAGGGCAAAAAGCATATTCCTCAGTTTAGTTGGGAGCTACAGTTTAAGTGACCAAGTTACCTACTCATTCACAATAACCTACAAACAAAGGTGGGTATACATCTTTTCATTGTGTGAACTTGTTACTCTTTGACTTGACTCCACACTTCCTTGGGTTCACATGCAAATGAATTCAGAAACCCATTAGGAGGTGATGCTGGTGACACTCCAGCTGTTACTTCAGAGCTGGGATCCAGCTGTTTGAGTAGTTGGTCTCAGGACAATGTCAATCTCCCTTCTGCTGGGACAGGTTCTTTTGAGGGGAATGACAAGGAGCATATAGGAACTATGGTTAATCAGCACCTTCTCCATTACATTTAATATACCAGTGCTAATGTTCTGTGCTAGAACCACTTCTTAATTCTGATTATCTTCGCTCTGAGCTTAATCTAATATGAAAGAATAATATTCACCCAATTAAGTAGAAAAGAAAAAAAACCCTGATGATTCTTGTTGCTCTTCCTGTTCCAGGTTCTTTTAATCACTGAAACTCTTACTAACTTCCAGTTGATGTCTTTTCTGTGTCTTCAATGTGAATTCCATCAACTCTGGTGGTCCCTTTGCATTTGAGGTGTCTCTTGGTTGGTCTAGGAGACAGCAATCTGTCTTCATCATGGCAGATAGTGGAAGAGGAGGTCTGGTCAGTAGTAAGTGATAAAATTCATATTTATTCCAAAATGGAGCTCCCAATGCTCTTGTGATGTAGTCATTAGTATTGTAGAACATGACTTTGTCCCTGGAGGCTGGAGACACATACTTTGATATTTTGCAGACATAAGTTTAGTCACTTGAGTGACTAAATTTGGGAGCTTATATTATATTCAGTTGGTTGACTATACATATATTTTTATAATTAACTTGGAAACAGCATTGGTAAAAAAAAGAAAGCAAATTCTGCTACTAACAGTGTTTACAGGAAAACTTTGGAGCAAGCCCATACACATTGTCTGAGAAACAAGAGGAAAAACTGGA